GTAGGATGAATAAAAGGGAAAAGATACAAGAAGCAGAAAGACTAGTTAGTATTCTGAGTAATTGCCATAGGCTGAATATTTCTGTTGCTCCAAAATTCATATGGTGAGATCCTAACCCCCAATGTGTGGTATTTGGAGATGGGACCTGTGGTAGTTATGAGAGTAGAGCCCTTGGGAATGGCACTAGAGCCCTTATAAAGAGACCCCAGGATGCCCTCACACCTCCCACCATGTGAGGACACAGCAAAGAAGTGCTGTTTATGAACAAGGAGGCAGCCCTCACCAGACACCAAGTCCCCTGGTGTCTTGCTCTTGGACTTCCCAGCCTCCAGAACTATGAGAAACGTCTGTTTTTAGAAGCCATGGAGTCTATGGTATTCTTTTCTAGCAGCCTAAATAGAGTAAAACAGTAATCCACAAATGAAGTGATGAGGCTTAAAATTTTCAAATCCAGTCTTCTTTTCTTTTTTCTTTTTTTTTTTTTTTTTGGAGACAGAATTTCTCTCTGTTGCCCAGGCTGGAGTGCAATGACACAATATCTTGACTCACTGAAACCTCTGTCTCCTGGGTTCAAGCGATCCTCCAGCCTCAGCCCCCCCGAGTAACTGCGATTACAGACATGTTCCACCATGCCCAGCTAATTTTGTGTTTTTAGTAGAGATGGTGTTTCACCATGTTGGCCAGGCTGGTCTTGAACTCCTGGCCTCAAGTGATCCACTCACCTCAGCCTCCCAAAGTGCTGGGATTACAGGCATGAGCCACCACACTCAGCCAAATCCAGTCCTTTTACTAATTTACTTCTCCACACCCTTGAATACCTTTTGGACTTCCATCCAACTGGTCAGTTTCTTCTTATCAGAGCCTTATTCCTTTTTGGTTCCTGTCCCTTACATTTCTTTAGCCTTTTCTCCACAGGGTGGAATGTCATTTTTGAAACCCCCCAAGCTACTTGTAATAACCATCAGTATTCCACTCTGGCTGTCCATACTACAGCAGTTTTTCCCTCCTCAAAGCCCAAGAGATGGAAAATATTTACAGTTTGGAATTTTTCATATTTAGAAACAAAGTATCAATATAACAAAGAGTATTTGTGAAGCAGTTTCATTCTATAAAATGGTGGGAAGATTCACCTGGAATTGTGCATTTTATTCCATTTTTGAAGAAGTTTTATGAAACAGTATCTGTATAAAGAAGCAACCGAAGACCCAAGTCAGACTTTTGGGAAAAGTTAAATTTATTGAACACGAAGTAATTGAATAAAGTCAGTTACCTGGACTGTTTATAGTAAGCAATGAATGTAATAAATTAAGGGGAAATTTCTAAAGAGCAAAAAGGATAAGAAATGTGACAAAGCGATAATAAATGTGTCAGAAGATTCACACAAGTGAGAAAGCCTCAGAATATGGTTACTATACAGAAGCTCTTCTGTAGAAGTCTCAACACAGTGGACCACAGGTGAGACCTTATAAATAAGTGGATAAAGCTTACATCAAAACCTAATCTTACTCTGCTTTAGAACTCTCATGTCAGAGAGGACCACTGCAATTTTAATTGTGTAAACATGGAATAAGCCTCCAACCCAGAACTCCATTTTCACTGGAACATGTAATTCATACTGGGAGAAATAATTCCAGGGCAACAAATGGGACAAAACCTTAGGTACAGGTCACCTCTCACTCGACAGAAGAGAAACCACACTGGGAGAATGCCTTATAAATTCCACACATAGAAGAAAACTCACAAAACTTTATTCAGGGGTCCAAATAAATTGATTAGACCTCAAAGAATTCAAACCCATGCATGCCAAAAAAAAAAAAAAAAAAAAAAAAAGGAATATCTTTAGGGAGGTGTCAGCCTCCACTGAACACCATAGAAATGATCAAAGAGGCTAGGTGCGATGGCTCATGTTTGTAATCCCAGCACTCTGGGAGGTGGAGGCAGGAGGATCGCTTGAGCTCAGAAGTTCGAGATCAGCCTGGGCAACATAGTGAGACATCGTCTCACAAAAAATAAAAAATTAGCTGGTTATGGTGGTGTGCACCAGCTACTCAGGAGGCTGAGGTGGGAGGATCGCTTGAGCCCAGGTCGAGACTACAGTGACCGAGGATTGTGCCACTGCACTCCAGCCTAAGAAACTGAGCAAGACCCTATCTCGAAAAAATAAAATAACAAAAGAAATGATCACAGGCAGAAACCGTATGTACACACTGAGTGTGGAAAAGCCCTCTTGTGGAAGTCAGTTATTTGTATACCTCAGAAAATTCGGGAAGGAGAGAAACCTTGTGAATGTACTAAATCTGATAACATCTTCAGTAACAGAGGATGCCCCACTGTACACAGAATGGCTCATGCTGTGGAGATAACCTGCAAGGAGACCGAATGTGAAAAAGCCCACGGGAGGGGGAGAGGCCTCGTGGTGCATCCGAGTTCCTAGAGAGGCCGCAGGTGTGAACATGGCAGAGCGTGAAAGTCTTCTGTGGGAAGCCAGGACTCTACGCCGGAAACCTCACACTGGGGAGAAATCCTCAACGCAATCAGTGTGGAAGTGCCTTTGCTAATAACTGCTTCTAATTCTGAATCATAGAGTTCAGAGCGGAGAAAACCACAGGAATGTAAAACAATGTCTAAAAGTTTTCAACTAGAAGTCAAAACTCATTGCACACCAAGGAATTCATAGTGGGAGAAACACTGAGGAAACAGCAAATGCAGGAAAGCTTTCCCTTGGAGATCAGAGCTCACTGACTCTCAGAGTTCACATAGGGGAAGAACCGTACACAATCGTGAGTGTGGCACCGCCTTTGACAAGAAAACACGCCCCAACCCCCCGGAGAGCGCCCGCACAGGAGAGAAACCCTGCGGAATAAATACATTCTGGGAAGCATTCAGCAACAAATGAAGCGTCCTAGTTCGCACTACGGAGAAGCCCTAGGAACACAACAGATGTGGAGAAGGAGAGTCAGCAGTGCAACAAAAATGTTTGTCAGAGGAGAAGCTTTTAAGTTTACCTAAAAATTGCAGAAACACCTAGTCCCAAGGTCAAAACCAACTACGCACCAGAGAAGCTGTATGGGAAAGTTTGTACGTTGGATAAAGTGTGGTTCACCCTCAAAACTAACTCCAGACATCACATACTAGAGAATGTATATTGATCTTAAACAGTGGTCAATTTAACAAATTTAAATTCTACTCCCAGGGACACAAAATTCCATAACTTAAACCAAGCTTTTTGTAAAAACTGTCAATGAAAAACAAACGCGCGTGCATCTGCAGTCCAAGCCTCTTCCTCTCAGTCCTGGTGCTCAGCTTGCAAATGGGCCTTCCTAGTACATACGGGGAATGAAGAGTTTCCATCCCCGTCCTGAGCCATCCACCTGGGATTCACCTTCACCACGGACATGGCTGTCTGTCACTGCTCCCAACCAGGAGCTCCTAAACCCATCCCCGACCCAAACACAGCATAAATGCAACCCTGCTCCTCGTTCTCACATCACTCACGCTACACACGTGCCTCGCATCCCTCACGCTACACACGTGCCTCTCCGCTTCCCACCGTACCTCGCATCCCCTCACGCTACCTGCCTCATCCTCACGCTACACACGTGCCTCGCATCCCTACACCTTCTAGGCGATGCCTCGCATCTACCACACCGTGTATCGCATCACTCATACACACAGAGTATCTAGATTTCTGAAGGTTTGCGGGGGTAAGTTTGGTCTTTTTTTTTTTTTTGAGACACTCTCACTCTGTCGCCCAGGCTGGGCTTTGTTTATGGGCACCGTCTCAGCTCTCCTCACGCTACACACGTGCCTCGCATCCCTCACGCTACACACGTGCCTCGCATCCCTCACGCTACACACGTGCCTCGCATCCCTCACGCTACAGACGTGCCTCGCATCCCTCATGCTACACACGTGTATCGCATCACTCATACTACACACAAGTATCTGAATTTCTGAAGGTTTGCGGGGTAGGTTTGGTCTTTTTTTTTTTTTTTTTTGAGACACTCTCACTCTGTCGCCCAGGCTGGAGCACAGTGGTACCGTCTCAGCTCACTGCAACCTCCACCTCCCAGGTTCAAGTGTTTCTCCTGCCTCAGCCTCCCGAGCAGCTGGGATTACAGGCACCCACCATCACGCCTGGCTAATTTTTGTATTTTTAGTAAAGACAGGGTTTCACCCTGTTGGCCAGGCTGGTCTCGAACTCCTGACCTCAGGTGATCCACCTGCCTTGGCCTCCCCAAGTGCTGGGATTACAGGTGTGCGCCACCACGCCCAGCCAAGGTTTGGGGGTGATTTAAGGGAGTACACACAGGGGAGGAAAACAGCTATACTCTAAGTCTGACCTTGCCCAGTCCCAGGGGGATGGCAGGAAAGTCCATGGCATTGGAAATCTCATGGGGGTGCACCCCAATTCCTCAGCTCACGCCCTCGCCCCTGCAGGCCCTTCCCATGCGCACAGGGGTCTCAGCCGGGGTCTCTCCCTCCATGCCAGAGGAATCCTACCCAGGCCTGCGTGCCTCCGTCCAGATGCACAGCCCCAGGTCTCCTCTTGCTGAGACAGCTCCTCCTCCACTCCAACCCCACGTTTCATTCTGGGGTCTACACATTCTTCCACACTGCCCAGTCCCCAGGTTATGGGGTTTGACTGAGAGGAGGAAATCCTCAATCCAGGCAAAGCCCGGGGCTTCATCATCATCTTTGGACTTCGGATGAGAGAGTAAGTTTAGTTCCTCTCTAGAGCTAGAACCTTCTCGGTGGCTGTTTCCCACCATGGCTAGCGAGTCTGGTCTGTGGTGAGGAAGCATGAAGCTCACATGCTGGAATCAGGGCAGAGCTGGGTGCAGTTCCTTCTCAAGGCCCGCCCCACCGATGCAGCGCGTGGTCTTCGCACACTCCCTGCCTCTGACTGTTCACCGTGGACCTGGGCTCTGTATAGCTTCCGCCGTGAGGCAAGAGGAAGAAAGGGGAGGCAGCGAGCAGTCCCGTTCCCGCCTGCCCTGCTACTTGTGGTCCTCTGCATCCTCGCCCTTGGGTGGGGCTGCCACCGTGGAGGTGGCCTTGAGGCTCCGCTTTCGCTTCTGCACATTCTGCTCCGGGTGGAACAGGATGACGTAGGTTTTAGGTACGTAGAGCATGCCGAGGGACACCGACGCACTCAGGCTCAAGGACACGGTTAGTGTGGTTGTCTGAATGTAGATCTAGGCCACGGAAGAGGGGGCGAGATGGGACTCAGCCCTGCTCTCCCTGCCCCGCCCCACACAGTCCTCACTACACAGACTGGAGCTGAGTCTGTTTCAGTCGGGGAACTGGGAATGAGCACTTGGACCAGGACAACAGTATGAGCAGAGGCCCCGGCGCCTGAGGAGCTGGCAGCCTCCGTGCAGCTCTGGTGTGGGCAGGAGGGAGGGGTGAGGAGGGGTTATTAACAGAGAGAGACACCTGGGGAAGCGGGAGCCAGAGCATGTTTCAAATTCATACAAATGAATAAATGGGCACAGAGTGAACTGAGAAGCACATGGGCAAATAAGTGAATGACAGGTGCATAAAATGTTCTGCTGCGTATGTGAATAAATGATGCAGCAACGGGCTGACACATTAATGGGTTGGCAGTTATAAAGCCAGCTGCGGTGGCTCACACCTGTAATCCCAGCACTTTGGGAGGCCGAGGCAGATGGGTCACCTGAGGTCAGGAGTTTGAGACCAACCTGACCAATATGGTGAAACGCCGTCTCTATTAAAAATACAAAAATCGCCCAGGCGTGGTGGCGGCGCCTGTAGTCCCAGCTACTCGGGAGGCCGAGGCAGGAGAATCACTTGGCCCAGGAGGCGGAGCTTACAGTGAGCTGAGATCACACCACTGCACTCCAGCCTGGGTAACAGAGTGAGACTGTGTCTCAAAAAAAAAAAAAAAAGCATATGAAGAACTTGAATTAAAAAAAAAAAAAACAAGCTAACTGGGTGACAGAATGAGGCAACATCTCTCAAAAAAATGAAAATGATAAAAAAAAAAAAAAGTGGAAGTCAAGAAGAGGGCTTAGAAGCTTGGGTAAGTGAATGAATGAACAAAGTAAGAAGGGAATGAGTGAATGAACAAGCAGCCGGATACGGGATAAACAAAAGCGTGAACAAGCATTTAAGCTCGTGAATGAATCAACCGGCAGGACAGGCAGGAAACAGGGAGTGCAACCTCCTGGGGACCTCATTACCTTTTCAGCTGACTGGGCAGTACCAAAGAAGATAGGCACGAATGCCAGCCAGATGATGCAGGTGGTGTACATGGTGAAGCCGATGGGCTTGGCCTCGTTGAAGGTCTCGGGCACGCCGCGAGCCTTGATGGCGTACACTGTGCACGTGACCATGAGCAGGAGGCTGTAGCCCAGGCAGCCGATGAGAGACAGATCCGACATGTCACATTTGAGCACCCCTCTGGCCTGCTCTGGATCCACCGTGCGCTGCTCCTCATAGTCAATCACGCTGTGTGGGGGCCGGGCCCCCAGCCATGCTATCACCCCCACCACCTGCAGGAGCCAACACTGCATCAGACACAGCACCTTCCAGGGACAAATCCATTCCAGCCCTGATGGAGGCCCCTGCAGGTCGGGATGCCCTTGAGGCTCTGCCTATGGAGTGGGGTGCTCCCCCTCTTCGTGGTGCCTCTCAGGAGCACTCAGTGGAGAAGAGGGGATGGCAGCCCAGGAAGGGACAGCCCAAGAGGGGCCCATCCACCCAGCCAAAGGCCCGTGGCCTGGCAGTGGTGGAGAAGGGCTGTGCTGGCCGTTTATGTTGGCAACATCAGTGCAGTGTGCGTAAGAGGCAGCTTGGTGTCCTCTTCCTGCGTTCTAGCCATTACCAATGCCATTGACTGTGCCCCTTCCAGGTAGATGGCTGAGGCCGGAAGCTCTGGAACTGAGGCCGGACTTACATCGCCTCGCTAGCCTCCTCACATGTAGTGAGCTTCAAAATAAGGGCACCTCACAGGCAAGAGAAACAAAGGAGCTCTCGGTGGGGAGGAGCAGGAATGGGAGCTGATGCTGAGGAGTAGTGGAGTCTGTGCAGGCCCTCACAGGGAGGAGGTGGAGTTACCATTCCCTCACATGACAGGAAACACAACCTCGAGCCAAGGAAAGCTGGGAACAGGAATGAAGCCACCTGCATAAAGGCAGGACCCTGGAAGGGCTGCCCCGCACGTTTGTGCAGGTTGTTCACTGCACAAGAGCGCCTGACTGGGGGCGGGGATCTGGAATCCAGCCTGCACGCCAGTGCCGCGCCGAGCACCTGGAGCGGGGCCACGTGAGCCTGCCGGAAGGGATGCTTTGCAGTCATCTGCCCACCCAGAAGAAGCAGCTTTTTGTGCTTCTCCCAAAGGCAGCAGACCCCTGAACAAAGGACCTTCCAAAAGAAGTTTGGAAGTTCCTACTAGAACAAGGCTCCAGGTAGGAAAAAAAAAAAAAAAAAAGTTGCTTATGAGAAACAAAAACGCAAGTCCAGGGACGCACAGCGGTAACAAGCAAAACGGCCCACAGATGCCGCAGCCCGTGGAGCTGAGAGCGAGCCAGCACGCCTCACTCGGAACAAACTCCTGCAAAATAACAGCAAATGAGCAGAGGGCAGGAACAGGCTGAGCCCCGGAGAGGAAAGCCCATGCCCGGTGCACTCGTACTAAGTGCAGGCAAATTAAAACCACAATGAGATGTCACTTCACATCTCGTCATGATGTGGTAATCATGGCAAAAACACCCAGTGCAGTTGCAGGCTTGTGTTTTTTAAAACATCTCTTGTATCTGGAAAGTGGGGCGGGCGATGACTGAGGCTGGGGAGGAGAGCTGGGGGTCCCCAGCGGGGTCTAAGCATCTCCACCTGGGGGTGGGGGAGCACGGAGCACCTCAGGCCGGGACGTAGCGGGCACCTTCTCAGGATGTGCGGCACACGGAGACCCTGGGCCTGACCGGGGGACACTCAGGCCCTGTTATCTGGAAGAAGATGGGAGTACCTCCTAGTCACGGAGAACTGCATGACCTGAGGCATGTGGTGTGTGTGGAACCAACAGAGAAGGGGCTCACTGGGAGTGCACAGTGCTGTGTCCAAATGGGTGAGCAGGTGTTCGCACTGAGGCCGCCCTCCACCTGGCCCTGAAACCCAGCTGGCCCTGCAGTGTCACACCAGGTCACCCTCCCCAAGCCATCTGTCTCTTGTACCCTTCGCACAGAAAACATCCAGGGCGTCCCAGACTCCAAGAGTTGTCTCCAAGGCTGTAATAACTTCACCGTCTTAGGAAAATCCCCCAAAGGAGCTCCATTTTTTAATGCACAACACCGCACGAAACACTGGCCACTGGGTGGGATTCGATCTCCACTCCACAGTAAAATGTTGGACCCTATGCCTCTTATCCACACTGCCCCAGTGAACAGGACAGCAGAGACTCCCTTGTGCAAACAGGAAAACCAGTCAGACAGCTCTTCATCCTATTTCCATATGTGAGCCAAATTGTGGAAGAGCATGTTTGATTTATGAAAATAACTTCACTGTTGTACAGAAAGGTCTCTGGAGGCCCACACTCCCCACCTTACTGCCCTGTTCTCCTTCAGGGACCCAGCAGGGGAGCTGGTGGCCCTAACTTAGCTGCTGTCACAGGACAGGAGGAGCTCCATTTCCTGTGGCCTTAAAAAAAAAAAAGGCTGGTCGCGGTGGCTCAAGCCTGTAATCCCAGCACTTTGGGAGGCTGAGGCGGGTGGGTCACGAGGTCAGGAGATCAAGACCATCCTGGCTAACACGGTGAAACCCCGTCTCTACTAAAAATCCAAAAAATTAGCCGGGCGTGGTGGCGGGCGCCTGTAGTCGCAGCTACTCGGGAGGCTGAGGCAGGAGAATGGCGTAAACCCAGGAGGCGGAGCTTGCAGTGAGCCAAGATCGAGCCACTGCACTCCAGCCTGGGCAACAGAGTGAGACGCTGTCTCAAAAAAAAAGAAAGAAAGAAAAAAAGCCCACAGGAACTAAAATAGAAAAGAGTGACTCTAAAAACAGCATTTCTCTTTTTGTTTTGAGACAGGGTCTCACTCTGACACCCAAGCTGGACTGCAGTGGTGCAATCTCGGCTCACAGCAACCTTCAACTCTCCGGCTAAAGCGATCCTCCTATCTCAGCCTCCCAAGTAGTTAGGACTACAGGCATGCACCACCACACCCGGCTAATTTTCATATTTTTTCGCAGAGACAGGATCATGCCATGTTGCCCAGGCTGGTCTCAAACTCCTGGACTCAGGTGATTCACCCACCTCGGCCTCCCAAATTGCGGGGATTACAGGTGTGTGCCACTGTGCCTGGCCTTTTCTGCTTTGTTAATTTGTGGACAGTCCCCCTCCCTGCCCTGGCCCTTGGGAGCCTCCGGACCCACCTGCAGGGAGGTGAGGCTGAAGGTGATGACCAGCTGCGAGGTGGGGCTGATGAAGGGAGGGGGTGTGACCGAGCGCTTGCCCTGCTCAAAGATGCGGTAGATACGGTTGGTCTTGGTGAGCAGGGCAGAGTAGCTGAGGGTCGTGCCTAGGCCCAGGAAGAGCCTGCGGGTGGCACAGACCACGGCCCCAGGCTCAGCCACCATGAGGAAGGTGATGGCGTAGATGAGGAAGATGCCGGTGAGGAGGACGTAGCTGAGCTCTCGGCCCGAGGCCCGGACAATGGGCGTGTTGTTGTGTCGCATGAAGGTGGCCACCACTGTGGTAGTGGCCATGATGCCCAGCACGGCCAGGAGGAGCGGCAGGGCTGCCCAGGGGGAGGACCAGCTCAGGCGCACCACAGGCGTGGGGCGGCAGCCGGTGTGGTTGGGCGTGGGCCTCATGTCCCCAGGACAGGCCTCGCACGTGAACTCGTCCACCTGGAAGCGGTACCCGTCACAGGCCTCGCAGTGCCAACAGCAGGGGACGCCCTTCACCATCTTCTTCCGCTCCCCTGGCCCACAGGGGAGGCTGCACAGAGACGAGGGCACCTCGTGGGGGTCGCCAGACCACTGCAGGGCCTCCACCTGGGACGTACAAAACACAGGCTGGGGGCCTCTGCCTCCGGGATCCTGGGCCCATGCCCACCCGGGGCTTGGTCTGCACACTCACATCCAGTCTGAGGGTCTCTGCCCACTGGCCCACTGCCTGGTACCCGCCACTGCTGGCACTGCCGTTGGTGGCCTGGTACTGGAAGATGTCGTACCGCCCGGGCGCATCTCCATTTTCGTTGAACATCACGGGGGTTCCTGCGCTGCCTGGAGAGAGAGCCCGTCATCCTTGCTGGTCCTCCAGCCCAGCAGAGCTGTCTCCGGGGAGGCTCCAGGGACCAGCAGGAGAAAGGAGGCGCTTAACAAGCATCACTGCTCATGAGGGACGTGCAAATCCAAGCCGCAGGGAAATCCCCCTTCACCCATTGGGATGGCTTCTATCCAAGAACCAGAAAATAACAAGTGTGTTGAGCGTGCGGAGAAGTCGGAACCCTTGTGCACGGTGGATGAGAAAAGGCTGCAGCCGCTGCAGAAAACAGTGTGGAGGCTCCTCAAAAAATTAAACACACGACCCAGCAATTCCACTCCTGGGTAGATACCCAAAAGACTAGAACGCAGGGCGGCAAAGAAATACTTGTACAGCCGTGTTCATAGCAGCATTATTCGCATAGCCACAAGATGAGAGCAACCCGAGGGTCCACTGACAGAGAATGGACGAGCATGATGGGGCCATTCATACGATGGGATGCGATTCAGCCTTCAGGATGAAGGCAGTTCTGACCCATGCTATAAAATAGATGGACCTTGAGGACATGATGCTCAGTGAAACAAGCCAGTCACACATGGGCAAATACTGTCTGATTCCACCACAGGAGGTACCGAGGACAGACAATTCATAGAGAGGAGCAGTGGAACGGTGGTTGCAGGTGCTGGCGGAAGGAGGGGACGGGGAAGTGTTTAATGTGTACAGAGTTATGGTTTCATAGATGAAGAGTTCTGGGGATAGTGGTGGTGATGGTTGCATAACATTGTGAATTTATTTTTATTTATTTATTTATTTTTTTGAGACAGTCTCATTCTGTTGCCCAGGCAACAGAATTGTGCACTGCCACAACAGGAGTGCAGTGGCACAATCCCAGCTCACTGCAACCTCTGCCTCCTGGGTTCAAGCGATTCTCCTGTCTCAGCCTCCCAAGTAGCGTGGATTACAGGCACTCGCCACCATGCCTAGCTTATTTTTGTATTTTTAATAGAGACGGGGTTTCACCACGTTGGCCAGGCTGGTCTCAAACTCCTGACCTCAAATGATCCACCTACCTCGGCCTCCCAAAGTGCTGGGATTACTGGAGTGAGCCACCGCACCCAGCCTGAATGTATTTAATATCACTGAACTCTACACTTAAACATGGTTAAGGTGGTACATTTTATATTATGTGTATTTTATCACAATTAAAAATGAAAAAGGTTTCACGGTCCAGGCTAGGGGATGAGTTCCGACATGGAGAGAGGTCTGAGTGACAGTATGAAATTGGAATGACTTGAACAATGAGCTCTATTTTTCTTACGAGCTTGCTCCACCCACCTGCAGAGCTGCTCTGGGGTCATGTTAAGTTGACTTGATTAGCAGAGAGCATGGGGGAGAGAAGCTGGTGAGTGAGTGCCTAGTGGAAGAGTGGAGTTTAGAACTGTGTAAAGGATAGTGACTGAACAGAAAGTCATCTCTCCACAAATCGTGGACACAGCTTGAGTCCACTGGGGTCTTCTCAAAAGACAATTTTGAGCCCTGACCACACACCAAGTCTGGTGCCACGGCACAGGTCAGACCCACGCCTGTGCCTAGTGCATGACTGAGTGGGTGGCATGTCCCTGGGTAAGTGCCCCACGTGCGCCCCCAGGGTCCAGACGCCCTCAAGCTCTGTGCAGTGGAGGGGAGTGTGATGTCACCCACTGAGGGTTCCTGGCAGAAGGGATCAGAGAAGCTCCCCAGCATCTCAACTGTGCAAACCAGCGCAGGGAACACTGAAGCCTGGGGAGGGAGCAGTGTTAAAACGTGGGGACCGGAACTTGTCTCCTGTCTTTGGCACTCAGCCCCAGGTGCCCCCATTAGACCACTCAGCCTCTCCCAGCCCTTCTACCCTGAGGTCATCCCAGGCCTCAGACAAATCCAGCCCCCAAGCTGCCCTTCACTGCTGCAGGGGTGCAGGCACCCACTCACCATTGAAGCGGACAGCTCGAATATACTGCAGAAGCGTCCGCCCATCGGTGGGTTCCATCGCTGGGCACAGGCCTGTGTGCCCAGGGCAGAGCGCCTGGTGCATGCTGTGGAGGGCATGGGCAATGGCATACACGGCATCAATCACGAACTGCACCTTGCCCTCCTGCTCGTAGGTGGAGTCCCGGCCGATGCGTTCCTCGCCTGTCCTAGGGATGCCCAGAGAAAGTGTGCCCGGCCGCCATGCACCCAACCTGGCCTCCCACCTTCCCCCTCCCCACCCTCCCCACCCTGGGCAGCTCTCACCTGTGCATTTGCGGGTGGAATCATCTGACTGGGTACCTGAGCGGGTCAGTTTGCAGTTAAAATTCTCTTCCCAGAACTCGGCAAACCAGATGTTCCTGCGGTTGTTCTCCAGGGATCGAGTCATGAAGTACTGGTCAAATCCTACAGAGACGGAAGGAGGGGAGGGTGGCGCTGACCTGAGCCAGCTGTGTTTCTCCTGTGTCTCTCTGCCACTTGCTCACTTTTCAGCTAGGAGTGGCCAGGTGACCAAGTTCTGATTGGTGGACTCAGAGCCAAATGGAGGTTCCAGGGCAGCCTTTACATGCTGATGCAAACTCAGAGCCTCACCATTTGAAAGACTTTTATCCCTGCTCCTTCTTTTGGTGGAATAAAAGAATGGACAGAGCCCAGGGCTTTGAGAGCACCATTCATTCACTGCCCTACACCTAAAGTCGCCACCTCTCAGACCCTGTGTCTTGTGAGGAGATGCCTTCATCGCTAAAACCACTCTCAGTCCAGGCTGCCACCTGCGCCCAAATGCATCGTAGCTGAAATAAAAGGTGTGCTGGTGTATATCCCCCCTAAGACTGGGAGGCCCCAGCAGCCAGGGCTCAGCCTTTCCAGGGTCTGTGTTTCATAAAATAGCCCTGAAGCATGTCATCAAGGTGTCCTCAGTCCAGCCTTGGGGAAAATGAGCAAGCCTACTGTAAAGTGAACCATCTGTTCCTGCTGGATTCATCCAGATCCACAGGTGGGACTGGGGGTGCAAGGGCCTCATCACTTTGATCAACAGGATGGTATATCCCATATCCTTGGTTTCTCTCCCTCCCACCCTCACCCTCAGATTAGAGTGTCTTTGGCAGCACTAGAAACACAGGCACTAAATTAGAAAACAAAATCGGCCGGGTGCGGTGGCTCACGCCTGTAATCCCAGCACTTTGGGAGGCCGGGGTGGGCAGATCATGAGGTCAGGAGATCGAGACCATCCTGGCTAACACTATGAAACCCCGTCTCTACTAAAAATACAAAAAACTAGCCAGGCGAGGTGGCGGGCGCCTGTAGTCCCAGCTACTAGGAGGCTGAGGCAGGAGAATGGCGTAAACTCAGGAGGTGGAGCTTGCAGTGAGCTGAGATCGGGCCACTGCACTCCAGCCTGGGTGACAGAGTGAGACTCCGTCTCATTAAAAAAAACAAAAACAAACAAACAGACAAACAAAAAACCAACAGTTTCTCCCCATCCAGTGAGTGGAGTGTCCTTTTCCTCGCACGCCATCACAGTCAAGCACTGCTTGGAGGGACGCGTCCATAGATTATCAGAATCATAGGATCCGGGGATCTGAGAAGGGATCTGGATTATAGCACCAATTACACAGATGCAGAAAATGATTGTCCCCAAGAGGGGGTGCTGGGGAGACGCTGAGGTGGGGGCCGCAGCGCCCCTGGACTCACCGTCGATGGAGGCCCTTTTGGGCAGGATGGTGATGGCCCCGACGGCCACGTCCTCCAGGCTCAAGATGGGCGAGGTCTTGGCTCCCCAGCTGTCGGAACCGACCCACAGGAAGTGGCCGGTCAGGTTGGCCTGGCGAGCGGCCTCCAGGACCCGCCTGGGAGGAGCAGGGCTGGGGTGAGGGAGGGCCTGGGAGCCTCCTCCAGCTTGGCCCATATTCCTTCCCACTCTGTCCATCTCCCCTGCTCTACAATCACTCACCAGATCCTTGTTGCTCAGGAAAAACGGGGCTTGGGGCATTTGGGGCACTTTCCCTGGGCTCTCCTCTGACCTAGGCCTGCCCACCTGCTCTGCCCACTGTAACCCACTGCACAGGGGCTCAGAGGGGCTCCTTGGGGGAAAATCCAGTTCGAAACCACCCCCTCCCCACATGCCTCCACCAGCGTCATGCCCAGCCTCCTAGGCTGGAGATGAACTCGGGCTGGGGCCTGCAGCCTGTGTGTGGACCCCCGGCTCCTTCCCTGACAGCTCCGTTTCTGCACTGGGATCTGCCCACAGGTCCCTCCCCACACCCCGGGAGCTGTAAACACAGACACACGTTCTGTGCGCTATTCAGTCTGGGCTTGTGGCATCTCCCCGGACCAGGCTGCTTTGCCGCTGGGGGCACCAGAATCAGAGGCAGCAGCAGGGAAGGTGGGGGGTGCGGGGAGCAGGGGAAAGGGAGGCCGGGAGGGTGTGTAAGGTGGTGATGTGCAAGAGGAGGGTGGGACCCTCAGGGAGAGCCCCAGGAGCCCAGTGATTGTGCCACTGTCCCACCTGATGTCATCCTCATTGGCAAAGATGATGATGCCCCGGGCGTTGGGTGTCTCCATGAGTCTCCTGATCACCTTGTTGAACTCTCCCGGCTTCGGTTCCCTGGGAATCTTGATAGACTGGGCAATACAGACCCCCCCTGGGTGTTGGGGGTGCCAAAGTCAGCTTCTGTCCCACCCACCCACACACCCACCTGGCCACTGCTACATAGGACTGTGTAGCCTGACTGAAGGGCTGCAGGGGTGAGATCTGTCCGCCAAGCCTGAGGCAGGGCTGAGTCGTCCAAAAGAAAGAGGCCCTGCCCACATGGAGCACCAGCCAGGCAACCTCGACCCACCATGGACCCAGGCCCCCCATCTTTCTGCTTCTGCCCCACCCGAGGGCCCCGGGCCCACACTATGGAGACTCCTTGGTGCCTCGGAGCCCCCAGCTCACCAGCCTCTCGGGAGATCTGAACGAAGGCCTCAACCCCGCTCTCGCCATAGTTGCCCTCAGAGGCCAGCGTGGACACATAGTTCCATCCCAGCGCCCTCACGATGTCCACCATGGCCTGGGCCTGGTAGGAGTCGGGCGGCACCACCCGGGAGAAGAAGTCATAGCGCGTGGAGTCGCTGAGCTCCGGGGCTGTGGAGGCGTAGCTGATCTGCGGTATCTGGAGGGCGGGAAGGACAGCCGGGCTGTGGACAGAGGTCAGTAACTCGAGAGAGGGAGGGCAAGGGGGGCTCAGGAATGGGACAGCCGAGCTGGGGACGGAGGTCAGTAACTCGAGAGAGGGAGGGCAAGGAGGGGCTCAGGAACCGACGGGGCACAGAAGGTGTGGGGCTGGGACCTGGGACACAGATGGGGCATGGAAGGCTTGGGGTGGGGACCTGGGGCCCGCTGGAGCAGCCACCTGGGAAGGCTAGAAGCTGTGGGCGAGGTCTGTGTTTTGTGAGTGGGCCTGAGAACTCTGTGAATGGTGTGCATGTGGGAGGTACGCCGGACTAGGGGAGAGGGCAGGACCGCCACGTACACTGGCACAAGCTGTGTCCTGAACAAGACCCCCCCAGCAGAGGGCCTGCAGCCCATCCAGCTGCATCTGCCTGTCCCAGTCAGCCCCAGGGGAAAGCACCGTTTCTTGATTCACACCAATGGGTGGTCTGCAGGGGCGGACAGCCCTAGCAGGGATTAGGGCAGACAGGGAAGCACCAGGGGGTGTTTGATTTAAGGCAGTGTCTGGCCTAGAATGGGTTTGTTGGAAACTGGGTTTCTCTGCGTGCATTACGGTGATTAACAGCAGAGATCAGACGCTGAACTGACCGGGGAGTGTGGAGCCGGAGGCACAGGGCTGAGAAGGCCGCCAAGAGGGGGCTCCGGGGCTTCAGGGTAAAGAGGGGCTATAGCAGGAGCTGGTGTGAAGGCCAGAGAGGAGAATTTCTGGAAGGAGGGAGGGGGACTGCTCCAGGGTTGTTTGAAGCAGGATAGAAAGTATAGAGACAGCAGGAAAAGGAAGCCGGGAGTGGCAGGGAGAGAGAAAGAGAGGGAAGGTACAGGTGGAGAGAAACAAGAAGGAGAAAGAGAGAGAGAGAGAGAACCGAGGAGTACAGGAGACGAGAAAGGCCCAGTGGCCACAGCTCAGTGAATAATGCTGTGGTCCTCAAGCCCTCCTGGACACTTGAGTTTGGGAACAACCTTCCCATGCCCCCTGGACCTCCTGAGGGCAGTTAATTTAAAATGCCTGCCAGCACGGTGATGTGGCTGGGAAATGAATGCATTTCCTTTAGACCAGCAATTGCAGCCTCTTGCCTGTGGCTGTGTGTTGCACAGTTTTTATTAATGTTTGCATTTCTAGCCGGGCAGCACAACCTCAGTCTGGGCTGAGCTAGCAGCAGCGGGCCCTGGGTTCACAGAGTCCTGCCCGCCTGAATACCCAGCTGGGTCCCTGAAGGCCTTGGGGTCTGGGATCTCTGCATTCGACCTAGAGGACAGAGACAGAAACTAGAGCTCTAGGCAGGGCCGGGAACACACACAGGCGGGTGAAAAACCCCGGGGCGGCCACACAGCCTGTCTGGTGCCAGCAAACACAGACGCTGCTCCCGGGAGAGAGAAGCTCTGGGGAAAGAGAAGTTCCTCCCCTGGGCAGATGGAAACTAGGCCTTCCTCCTTCACAGAGAGCCAGAGGCACACAGGCCCCTCCCGCCACAGAACCCCAGAAAAACTGTCCCACAAACCCCCAAACCTGTATGCCAAAGCCCCCTAATCCCGACTCTGCTGGCCCCTAGGACTGCAAGGAACACGCTGCCCTCACAGGACAGTTCCCTACCTTTGAGGGCAGCGCAGGGCCAGCCCGGGCACCTACGCAGGGCAGGGTGCAGGAGACCAGCGCTCAGAAGGGAACGCCCCACCCTGCTCTCAGACGCCCCTTGAGGGAGGGTTCAAGGCAGACGTTTTGAAAATAAACTTAAATGATCAAAAAAGAGAAGGTCCAGACCTTTCGAGCCTATCCACCCCCAATAGCAGCCCCGGGACACGTCCCAGCTGCTGCTCCGGAAGAAGGGCCCGGGCTCCAAATAAAGCTCAAAGTTGAAACGTCACTCGAGCGCTCTGCAGGCCGAGGGGGCAGGAGCACCTTGTGCGGGTGGAGGGGGTGTGCCCAGAACAAGGGCACTCGAGCAGGCTGGCAAATGGGGACTGAAGTCAGGCCGCCCTCCGCAGCCAACCGGCCAGAGGCGTAGGTGGCACCTGCCCGGGAAGGGGCGCCCTTGCGGGGCCGGGTAGACAAGGGCGGCTGGATCCGACTCAGGCCTGCGTCGGGCCCCACTGACAGGGCTTCTTTGACACTGTGTGGTGTGAACTCCAGTGATTAAAACGGAGACTCTTCCAGAAGAAGTAACGGAGTGAGACTTGGGCCACCCCAGGGCGAGGACGGGAGACGCTGGACACCCAGCCCGGCCCCGCGGCCCTCACCGCAAACAGGCGCAGCACGTTGGCGACCATGATGGAGACGGAGCTGGCCGAGGCGCCCACGACGGCCACGACGCGCTCGGGGGGCGCGGTGCGCAGCGGAGGGACGCCTCCCGGGCAGCGCAAGCCCACCTCGTCGCCGTCGCCGCGGCCGCGGATCAGCGCCTGCACGAAGCTCAGCGCCTGCTCCAGCGCGTAGGTGTCCCGCGAGCAGGTGTCCAGCAGCCGCGCGCCCAGGCGCACGCCGGGCAGCAGCTCGGGGTCGGCGTTCACGCGGTCCAGCGCGTACAGCATGGCCTCCAGCCGGTGCACGCCCTGCTCCTTCTTCAGCGGCCCGCACGCCCGGCCCGCCGCGCCCCGCGCGTGCACCGGGAACAGGCCGCCCAGCGTCAGGCCGCCCGCCAGCCGCACAGAGCCCGCGGCGCGCGCCAGGCCCGCCTGCGCCAACCACAACAGCGGCAGCAGCGCCACGAGCAGCGGCTCCCGGGCTCTCCCGGGCCGCGCCATCGCCTCCGCCTTGTCTAGCGGGCTGCAGGGAGACAGAGGGGCGGGAACGCTCTGAGGGCTGGGGAGGGAGAGTGCGGGCTCGGGGCGCGGGGAGGGACACGGGGTCCTGGGGAGAAGGCGCTCGGGGCGCGCCTTCCACTTTGGCTCTGGGGAGTTAGCTCAGCCGGCCTGCCCAGGCCTCCGTCTCTCTCTTAAAGGCGCTGAACCCTATCTCCCGGGGTCCCGCCGGACCACTGCCTCCACCCCTCCAGCCCTGCCACTTCCCGACAGCCTGGTCCTTCCTCCTCGGGGTCCATTCCCAGCGCACACCCAGGCTCCCTCCCCAGCCAGTCACCTGCGCCAGCCGCTGTGGATTCAGGACAAGTCTGTGACAGATGCCACTGAGGCCCCGAGCGAGAGAGGATTTAAGGATTCTAGGGAGAGATGAGGGGCCGGTCCGAGGGTGGAGACCCCTCCTGAGTGTGGGGGGTGGCGGTGCTGGCTCTCCCCGCGTCTCCTTCCCCTCCCTCTCCTAATCTCTGGGTCTGTTTCCTGTTTTCCTGTCTTTGGTTTGCGTGTGACTCGGACTCTCTGGCTGTCTCTCTGGCGCTGTGTCTGATACATAATCTCTGTCCATCTCTCTATCTCAGTCTTCTGCTTCTAGGTCTCTGTTCCTCAGTCTGTCTCTGGCTTTCTGCCTCTGTCCTCTTCTTGGAAATCTTGTCTGTCTCTGTGCCTTCCTGTCTCTCCCTGCCATTATCTCTCTGTCCCTGACCCCTTTTCTGTCTCTCTCTCTCTGTCCTGGCTGCCAGTGCTCTTGACTGCAGTTGCCTAAGGTATTCCCCAGCTTTCTCCTTGCAAAACCCTGCAGGGGGCAGGGACTACCTGAGCTGGGAGGGCCTGAGCAAGAGGAGGAAGAGCAAGGGGCAGGAAGGGACCAGGAGGGAGAAGCCTTTAGTGTTAGCGAACTTACAACACCCTCCAGTTGAGAAACAGCCCTCGAGGAGTGAGTTGACTTGCCCAAGGCCATGCAGCTGGCATGTGTGGGCATCAGGATTCACACCCAGAATGGCATGAAACAACCAGCCCACACGGCCTTGGATAGAAGGAGGGGAGAGGCCGGCTCTCCTTGCAGCTCCCACTCCCCCTGTTGCATGCGCGGATGGAACCCACGGGGCTGTTCTGGCTGCATATGAAGTCTCCTTGGGCTCTGGGTCTGAGGCAGCTACTGGAGCTGTGGTGCACACTGTGCCAACGCTCTCTGTACCTAACTCCCCACCTCATCGTGGAGGCCAAGGTGAGGGGGCTTGGCCAAAAGACGCTTTTATCACCACCCCCATCTGAGGCCCGGGATTTGGCTCTCTGATGCCAAGAGAGCAAAGGGCATCCTGGAGACAGGTGGTGAGCTCCCAGCCACAGGGATTAGCAGGCTCCTCGTTCGAGGGCCTGAGCCGGCTTGGGTTCCATTAGACAGGCTGGATTAGGGTGGCTGGGGGGATTTGGACAAGGCTGGCAGCAGGAGCAAGCAAGAAACGTGCCACCTTTTTCTCTTCCCCCACCTCTCCCAAGCCCCGATAGTTTCTACGGCCAGAACCACGTCTCCTGGTGGAAGCCCAGAGTCAACAGGCTGGGTCTAGCGCTGCTCCTATCCATTTAACAGTGGGAAGGGTGGGGAGCTTAGCTGGTGCCAGGCCCTGAGCCTGACATTGCAAAGGACGGCATAAACTGGGTTTGGGAGGTGGATGGGCCCTTCCCTGTTCAGGATGAGCCTGGCAGCTCCCAGCACTCAGCAGCCTCCTGCTTGGCATGACCAAGGCAGCCACTGCCCCTGCCTAGAGGACAGACCATCAGGAAGCGGGGGCAGCAGCTGGGGGACTGGCAGGGGGTCCTCACCCTGTAGGAGGGAGGCGCGCACACCTGTGAGCAGGGGGCTGGAGGAGAAGGGGAGGGGGGTGGCAGGATTTTAGGCTGATGGAGATTGGGCTCTTGGAGGCGTGGAGGATGGCATTGCTGCTGGGGCATTCCCTGAGAATATGAGAACCAGAGACAGCTGAACAGGTCAAGGAGGGCAGAAGCCAAGAGTTCGGGTTTGGACGCAGGAAAGCAGAGGCTTCATGACTCATGAGCCTGGAGTTGAGGGAAGAGGCCAGGGTGGGAGAGAAAGCTGAGGTGGGATCACCATGGTGGTGTTTAAAGAGGTGGAACACAGGAGCTCACTGGGGCTGAGAGTGTGGACAGACAGTGAGGATGGAGCCCCAGGAACCCCAACATGAGGGTCTGAGCAGAAGTAAGGAGACTGGGAGGGGGTGGCCGAGGAGTTAGAAGAGAAGAAGGAGAGTAGGCAGCAGAGGGGCCCAGAAACAAGGCTGGAGGAAGGAGGGAACATTCACCATAACTTATTCAGCCCCGTGCAGGGTCAGAAGGCCAAAGTGCACCTCGCACAGATGAGAAGAGAGGCAAAGAGGCGGGGCAGCCCCATGGCCATACCGCTCAGACGCCTGTGGCCTGGAAAACCCGTGCAGCCTTCACACCGTGTCTGTGATTCAGCGGCAGGTGCTGCCATTGACAAGCACACAGGAAACTAAAATCCCAACTGCTGCCTTCAGCTTGTGTCCACACTTCTAACCCCAGAGCCGGGCCATTCAGTAGAGCCTCCAGACTAGCCCCCACATCTAACAACAAGATGATTCTAATTGCAAAATTAATTTAAAACTCTACGTGCCTGGGGTTCGTTTAATGGTTGGACTCAAAGCTTCCGATGCCAGGATTGGGATGTTAGACATATTCCACCCTCTCTTTTGTTGGGAACATGTTCTGTGGGTGAACCAGTGCACCTAGCATGGACTCTGGCACAGGGATGTTGAAAAGCATGGGGTCTGTACCTGGGAAGGCCACCTGATCCCTTCCGGAATGTCCTGTGTGGAGCAATGTGGGGTGTGTGTGCGAAGTAAGCCTCCCAATGCACCCAGCCCTGCCAGCCTGTGCTCCCATGCGCCCTCACACCCCCATAGGGAGCCATGAGCTCCTCCAGACAGCAGGGCATGCGTGTGGGCCCCGGCTGTCACCAAGACCCAGGGTCACCTCCCTGCAGGCTTCTCCGTTGGCCCCTGGGCTCCTCACTGTGCTCTCCAGCGCTCAGCTGCCACGTGATCCACTGCACTGGGACCAGCTTTTCCAGCCACAAACACCAGCGGTGCTGCTGCCTCCGCCTGAACTGGTGCTGCTGGTAGACCCATCAGCCAAGAAGGAAGCAGGCCAGGCGCAGTGGCTCCTGCCTCTACTCCCAGCACTGTGGGAGGTTGAGGCGGGAGGATCGCTTGAGCCCAGGAGTTTGAGACCAGCCTGAGCAAGATAGCAAGATCCCGTCTTGGCAGATCACGAGGTCATGAGATCGAGACCATCCTGGCTAACATGGTGAAACCCCATCTCTACTAAAAAATACAAAAAACTAGCCGGGTGAGGTGGCGGGCGCCTGTAGTCCCAGCTACTCGGGAGGCTGAGGCAGGAGAATGGCGTAAACCCAGGAGGTGGAGCTTGCAATGAGCTGAGATCTGGCCACTGCACTCCAGGCTGGGCGACAGAGCGAGACTCTGTCTCAAAAAGAAAAGAAGATCCCGTCTCTACAAAAAAATACAAAAATTAACCAGGCATGGTGGTGCACGCCTGTGGTTCTAGCTACTCGGGAGGGTGAGGTGGGAGGATCCCTTGAGCCCAGGAGGTCAAGGATGCAGTGAGTTAGGATTGTGCCACTGCACTCCAGCCTGGGCAACAGAGTGAGACCCTGTCCCTGCCCCGTCCCCCACCAAAAAAAAAAAAAAAAAAAAAAAAAAAAAAAGCAGCCTAGAACTTCAAGGATGAAGAAAGGGAACAGGGTCTGGATGAAGAGACGTTGCCAGACCTCCTCAGAGCTGTGCCAGGACAAGCAGCCACCTTTCCAGCCTCCCTGGTCAGGGAGAATGCCTGCTGGGGTCACCCACCCACAGGCCGTAGGGCCCTCTTACAGCATCCTGATACCGCTGGTCAGGCTCGATGAAGTCGCACAGAATTTTTACAAAGTGTGCAGGACTTCACTTAAAAGGTTGCCCCGAGAAGGAGTCCTGTTGTTCCCTGACCCTGGGACTGTTTTCCTCAGCTGGGCTGCCATGGCAAAGTCCCACAGACAGAGGGTCAAAGAACAGAGATTTTTTTTTTCTTTATGATGAAAAGCTTTAATAACAGACAATGTGATTTCACAGGCAATCAACCGGCAGATTAACAAATCATTTAACTTTCTTTATATAAAACCAATATTCCACCAAGAAAGATGACCCGAAATGGATCCTTTTACAATCACCAACATAACTAAGTACAAATGAAGTCCATGATGTACCCATTAACATGCTACATATGTGTCAATAGAACACGCTGTCCCCCACCCCAAGCCCTGGCCCCCCCGGCAAACACAGATAAATGATGTGCACTGAGTGATACCGTTAGGTGAGAACTTTGGTTCATGCAGTCAGCTGCCATAGAGGTTGCACCCAAAACCCACGGCCCTGGCACCCAAAGTCAGTCCGTGGTGGTGGTGGCTCATGGTGTCAGCTGTGTTCCCTCCACACTGGGTGTATACTGTGGTCAGGAATACTGGTGGCAAAGACCAAGCCCGTGTCATTGTGCCCATCCGGTCCATTCAGCCAGGATGCATCACCTGCCAGGAAGCTTGAGCCTGTCTTTGATTTCTTGTACCCTGGAAGAGGCCAGCGACTGATCAGGCTCTGTGTCTGCACGTCCATGATGCACAGGTGGCAGCTGTCAAACGGTAGGGCAACAGTATTTCCAAAGTCAAGCAGGGCCACGTTTGCTATCTCAGGAGTCATGATGACCCTGAGAATATCGTCACTGTTGGCAGAGTCCGCTGGCAGAGACCGAGTGCTGAACTACAGACAATGTATTTGCCATCACCATGAAGTCTGCAGGCGGATACTTCTGTCCTCGGAGACAAGACAATGGCTTTAAGGCTTGCAGCTGATTTCTCTCCCATTTGG